CCAGTGATATAAATAATCAAGAGTGGTCTCCCCTTGTTTTATTACTCTCCTCTTTGAGAGAGCTATTTCTGTTTACTGGGACTATAAAAGGTCACTATATGCAAACCTTGTATTCTCAGTTGAATAAGCTTTCTTAAAGCCTACATCTGTGTACTTTTGTCATTACAACCTCTTCAAATTTGTTTATTATCATTTTATGTTATACTTGAGCCAAAAGTGATAAAAAATATATACTTATAATCTTGAACTGATGATGTATTCTACAGATAATTAAACAAAAGTTGGACTGGGTTGGGGTCTTCTATAAATACTCCATGATTGGCTCCCTGTACCACTGCAGTAAGTACCTGACTCCTCATGCTATCCTCTACCTTTATAAGAGCCAGATCAGACTGAAAATGGGGTACCATTGCCATATTTGGGCAGGAGCTGCCCAGACCTCACTTTTCAGTTGCAGTAAAGTTCAAAAGAGTATCCAAGTTCTTTCTCGCAGGTGAGATGTTGCGAGTCTCTCACTGCTCTATCGTAACTACTATGCAATGGAAAGTGTTTGGACAAACTACATTCCTTGGTTCTATCAGAACTAACCTACATGGCTAGGACCCGCCATGTCACCAACATTTCTTCTGTATTCCATCAGCAAGAAGTACGTTCCAATCAAACAGCTTCTTCCTGCAAACCACTGCCCTGTAGACCCAACTCCCAGGAGGATGCTTCCCTGATCACTACAATCATAACTTGTTCAAGTCTAGAGTTAACCGATATTTTTCCCACATATCCTCATAAACTGTGCTTCTTACCTCTTACTTTGTGGAAGCGACTCCCAGGAGGATGCTTCCCCGATCACTACAATTTTAACCTGTTCCAGTCTAGAGTTAACTGTTATCGCCACCTTTCCATATAAACTACTTCTTAATATAACCCTCTACCTCAAGTGGCCCTCAAGCCTTGTATAGGGTAAACCTTGCTGTAAAAAAAAAACAACTTTTTATGCATTAATGGAGGGTTTTATCTCAGGTATATCCTTCGAAGGTCATCATGAAAGATCAGTCTTCTCCAGCTCATGAGAATGTGACAGGTATTCCCCAAGACTGTCTTCTCAGTCTTTTCTGTACTTTATTAACTTTTTCCGATCATTAATTGCAGTTTATGGACATACTTCCAATAATCAAAATATCTGAAGCCTTGCAACTGATTTCTCATCAAACCTATCTCTAACAGTTCAATGGGGAAAAAATTGGCTTGTAACTTTCAATATTCAAAAGCCAAGTAAGGTCATTCTCAACGGATTCTCCTCCAGTTCCTATCCCACGAACACAGGTGTTCCCCTAGGCTCCATCCTTGGCCCCACTCTATTCCTTATTTTCATCAATGACCTTCCTGACGCAATAGATTCCCAAGTTGGCATCTACGCAGACGACACTACAATTTACTCCTGCCTCAAAAACAAATCTAGTGTCGGTGACAAAACTAACCTGGTCGTGTGTCTTGAAATGGACCTCAAATCGGTTGTTAATTGGGGCAAGAATTGGCTAGTCAATTTTAACGCCTCAAAAACTAAACTACTCTCTATTAATCACCATAGATATCCTTCCCTGCCCCCCATTAGAATGTCTGATAGTCAACTTCTTTGAGAGCAACTCCCTGTGTCTGCTCGGTCTCATGTTGACTGCTGACCTGAGATGGAACAAATACATTGAGTCAATTGCTTCTTCCACTGTGAGGAAAGTTGGCTCCCTGTGCCGTGCCAGGAAATTTTTCTCCCTGGAATTGATCCTCCAGATCTACAAATCAACAATTCTTCCTTGCATGGAGTATTGCTGCCATATATGGTCTGGAGCCCCTCTGTTTGCCTTGGGGTTCTTGATAGGCTCCAGAGGCGGATATGCAATATAATTGGCCCTGATCTGGCATCTCGTCTACAGTCACTCTCTCACAGACGTGTCGTCACCTCTCTCTGTCTTTTCTACAAATACTTTCATGGTAATTGCTCCAATGAGCTGCTTTCACTGGTTCCCAGACTTCATGAATTCAAGTGTCCTACGCGGCTGGCATCCCACTCCCACCCTTACACTGTAGAAACTTTTAAATGTAGCTGTCTCTTCTACTCCAATAGCTTCATACCTCGCAACACCCTTCCCAATTACTGTTTCCCTGAGAGGTATAATCTCCAACTATTCAAATGTAATGTCACTCGACATCTCCAGTTACCTTGATCTACCCATTATCCTTCTCCTCATCCTTTTTTCTATCACTCCTATTTGATCTTGCTCCAAATCTTCTGCAACCCCCTGCATCCTAGTGGCTTCACGCCTTGCTTGGGGCATAATGCTTAAAAAAGAAAAAAAAAAAAGTATCATTTTATCATTGTCAACCGGATCCTGAGTTTTCTCCAGTCATGGTGAACAATTCCCCTTTCAATATGGCTCCATGTTTTGAATGTCTTTTGTGTCTCAAGTTCACTCCAGACCTCAAGTGAAATTCATATATAAAACAATATATATACAATATATATAAAACAATATATATATACAAGTTTCATTAAAGACAAGATACTTCAATTAAGCGTTTAATTTAATTTTTCTTGTGTCCATTTAAGTGTTTTCTTTTATGGACGTAAAGTGTCTAAAAACTGTCCAAATGTTCTGTATGTCTGAATGCTTTTGGATATTCCAATAACCATTATCAAGAATGATTTTTTTCCAAACATGGTCAGGACATTGAGGCTGTGTTCATAGTTGAAAATAAAAAAAAATAAAAAACAACATTCCTATGACTCTAGATACATAGATAAAATTCTCATACAATCAGATAAAAATAAAAATAAAAAAAATCGTGTGATCATGTCTAAAGGAATAGCTGAAAGAGTTTGGATATGCAGAAAAGAATAAACTTATATGAACACAAGAAAAATGAAATAAAACTTAACCTAAGCACCTTTTTAGTCATCTTTAATGAAACATGTATATAAGAGGGATTGCTGCCCAAATACACAATTATTAAACAATAAATATTTATATATATTAAGACAGGTTTCATTACATAATTTAGACATGTCCTGTCTACTTATTCTCAATAGGATCCTTTCATAAATGCAGACAAGCTTTTTTGCATAGTTATTAAAAGAGAAGAGAAAAACACTGTGTTGGCTCATATTGTAATTTATTCTAAGTACTTTCAACATAGCATAATGTCATCATTAGGGTATAGTTAAATATAGAGTAAGTATTTAGTGTTCATGGTTGTGAATTCTTGTGGTCATCCGAAAATTACTATTTTTATACGTGGAGTCAGGAACACTGTTTCATGGCTTGGGTGACGGACACTGTTTAAAGGGAGGTAACTACGTTTGCTGAGGAAAAATTGCCAATTTAAGTAGTTGCTAGATAAAGGAAAAACTATTATGACAAGTGCTAACATTTAAAGACTATCTATTGTACACATTTTAAAATGTTTGTGGAGTATTCATAATTAATTTTATTCAGCCTTGTTTTCAATTTTTTGATATAAAGAGCTTCGAGAATTTTTAGTTTGTGTTTATTCTTTTTTCGAAAAACTATGAAGGTAATTTTGACAAGGATTTTTCTGAATTGACAGTTTGGACAGGTACGTTGTTGTAAATGTTTAGAAATATTAGACGTGTTATTCAAGTAAAGACTTAACCTATGTGAAAGTGTTGTTGTCATGTGTCCAACATAGATCTTACTGCTTATAAACTTCAATCAACCTTGCCTACCGAACGCTCCTTTGTGGCCGATCGGATAAGGCACGTCAGCGTAAATGACGGTTCTGTATAGGATGCAGGTTCGAATCCTGTCAAAGGACGAATATTTTCTATGAAAATTTCTCGGACATTCAGGCCGGTAAATGTTATTTAATACTGTTTATCATAAACAGAGCATTTACTTAAATACTTGTATCTATAAAAAACAACGTTAAACATAAAAATGTCTTTAATAAATAAATTGTCGGACTTTGTCCATTTCTTAATATAGATCTTATTCTAATTGTTGGAGATACAATATCCAAGAGGACATTTAAAAGTTATAAATGATGTTGGTTTTTCTGCAACACACAAGTGGACAGGAAGAGTCATTACAAATGATTTTATTAGATAGAGTGGATTTAGTGTAGTATATAATGTTTTATTTTGTGTGTGTGTGTGTGTATGTATGTATATATATGTATATAAAATAGGAAATATAACACGTTAGGTAAATAATCTATTCGGGGTTCTTTATTATTTTTGTAACATTTTATTTTTAAAAGCAGTGTTCCATACAGAAGAATAGAGTTTAATTATAAATATTTTTCAACAAAATATGATTCCAGAAGCGTTGAAACAAAATGGCTATTTTTGTAATGATTTTGTAATATATTTATGTTATAATTTTCAAATAAAAACAGATATGTAGAAAATAGAAAGAACACGTTAGGTAAAAACCGGGGTTCTTTAATTTTGTTTTTATTTTTAAAAAATTATATTGAGCTTAATTATAAATATTTTTTTTTGACTTCTCGTTCTTTTTGAAAAATGAGGAAACCTCAATATATTAATTATATTATGTACTCGTTTTTGAAACGAATGATATTTTTTAAAAAATAATTATAATATTTATATATATATATTCCCTCCCTGTAACCCATTGCATCTTAATGGCATTATTGTGTTGCTTGTAGTGAAATGATTAAAAAAAATGTGACTAACTGTCGATAAGAGATTTCTTGTTGTTACTTAATTGCCTGCAAATAGAGCTAAATGAACAAGCCAAAGACAATGATATGTGTACTTACATGCCTCACAAAATGAAAGGAATCATTGTACATGATGTTAAGGTAATTTGTCAACAGAAGTGGGATACAAACTGGTGTTGATTTCTACAAGAACCTTAACTCATATTATTAGATATCTCAAAGGCTTTTGACCATGTGTAGCATAAAGTCTTGCTACCCAAACTCTTCAACTCTGGAAGAGATTATATAATCATACAGTCATTACAGCCAAATCATGTTGAAACACCAGTTCTCATCCAATCATCGAAGTTAAGCAATATCAAGCCTGGTCAGTACTTAGATGGTTAACCACTTGGGAATACAAGGTGGTATAAGCTTGGATGTGCAGCTTGTGTAATGAATAACGTCTCAGAATTGCTAATTGGAGAGCTGAGTTTCAATTCCAGTTGGGTTCGTTATATTCACTTATGTACAAATACCCTTGAGATAGGTATGAATCTACCTCTTTGCCCAACAGCTATGGGTTAATAAGTAAGATGTGTATCAGTAAGTTGATATGCCACTAAATAAAAACAACAAAGCAATATTTCGCTGAGATTGGTCCATGAAGGTCATTGGGAATATCCAGTCTTCTAAAGCCCATCAGATTAATGCAGGAATCCTTCACAGCTATCTCTTTAGCTCTACCCGCTTTTTACATTTTATTAAAAATCAGTTAGGGAACATTTTCAGATCATAATGACATGTTTATGCAGATGTCACCATTGTTTATAGATGCCAGTCCAAAAATTAAGATGACTGGTGTCTTGCAGTTGTCCTCTCTGTTGAACTCACGAGAACAGCACAATGGGGGGGGGCGGTAAAACGGAAAAAAAATATTGGCTTGTCACTTTCAATGCCTGCAAATCTCCAAGCAATATCATTTCATCATCACCATTCGGATCCTGGATTTTTATCCCAATGTGGCTTCAGGTTTTTGAAACCAATTAATTGGTTCATTTTTTTATGGCTTATCAACCCCTTGCAGGTAATTTAAAACCAGAAAATATGTTTACATTGTTAGAATTTTTTTGAGATAATAATGATTTAGTGGTACAAGTCTTACTAATTAAGCCATAGCTGGGGGGGGAAGAGGCAGATTCATACCTTTGCTAAGGGCATTTTCACGTTTGTGAATATAATGAACCTGAATGAAAGTGGAACTCAGCTCTCCAATTAACAATACCGACATTATCCTTTACACCAACCACATATCCAAGGTTTGAACTCAGCTCTCAAATTAACAATTCCAAGCCATTATCCTTTACACCAACCACATATCCAAGGTTTGAACTCAGCTCTCAAATTAACAATTCCAAGCCATTATCCACTATACCAACAGCATATCCAAGCTTTGAACTTGACTCTCAAATTAACAATTCCAAGCCATTATCCACTATACCAACAGCATATCCAAGCTTTGAACTTGGCTCTCAAATTAACAATTCCAAGCCATTATCCACTATACCAACAGCATATCCAAGCTTTGAACTCGGCTCAAATCAATTCCAAGCCATTATCCACTATACCAACAGCATATCCAAGCTTTGAACTCGGCTCTCAAATTAACAATTCCAAGCCATTAACCACACCAACTGCATATCCAAGGTTACAGCACCTGGTATTCCCAAACTGTTAGCCATTGATGTATTGGCCAGGCTTGATGTTGCTTAACTTCGGCGATTGTACAGGAACTGGTGTTTGAACATGATATGGCAGTAAACCTACTGAGAATTAAGTTCACTCCACAAGTAGAACTCATATATATGATATATGATTGAAGATGCTGAAAGAAAGTGTCAGTTCATTTTATCACTTCAGGGAGTATCTGGCACCTTCTGCCATGCTTTGACCCAGTCAGAACAAGTATAAAACTCAACTTTTAGTTCTGTAATGTTTGTCTTTGAGCTAAATTCAAATTTTTGTTCTACTATCAGCTTAAATTTCTGATTCACTTATAAATCATTTCCTATAAAAAATCAAATTTGGATCCTATAAATTCAATCAACACAAGTTTCTTGTTTATTTGACTTATGCTTTCTTTTGTCTTTTTAAATAATTACTCAAAGTCACCTTTCATAAAACCTAAGAAGGTTTCTGACAAGTATTCTTGATTAAAATAGTTTAAACAGGAACCTTACCTATTGTTGAGGAGCAAATAAACATACTAGAAAAGTGGGACAGGCTGATAACTTTTCAGCACCTCCTTATACTTTGTGTTTGACTTGTAAATTGCTTAAGTTATTCTAAGTATTACTTAATGAAATGAATTGATATAGAAGGAGTTTTTTGAATATCTGTCTATATTTCTGAGATGAGGTATTATGTACACTATTTACATTATTTGGACTATTGTCCTCATCTTCGTTGCCATATTTATTACAACATTTCGTCCGTTCAGTATCTGTCTATATTTCTGAGATGAGGTATTATGTACACTATTTACATTATGCGGACTATTGTCCTCATCTTTGTTGCCATATTTATTACAACGTTTTGGACACATGGCACAGTGGATAAAGGTGTTAGTTAGATCCAGCAACAGGACCCAAAGAGTGTGAGTTCAACACTTGGTGGAGAAGTTGGAGAGAGGAATTAACAGGAGATAACTTATAACAGACATCCATTAAACATGGCACATGGAACTAGAGCAGTCTACCCCAGTGAGTGAAATAAAGGGTTCAGTTTGACATTCCAACCACCTGAAGAAGGCCAGAGCCTGCAACGGTTGAAACGCTGTAATAAATATGGTGAGAAAGATGAGTTTTTTTGAAATTTTCTAGGTTTGACTCACTTCATAAAAACAGTAGTCTACTGAGATAGGTTGAGAATTTTTCAGCACCAGCTAATACTTAGTATTTGACTTGTAAATTGCATCAATCATTTTAAGTATTGCTTAATGAAACTACTTGAAATGGGTGTTGAAATTTTTCTGATTTCATTCGCTTCTTAAAACCAGAATTCTATTGCTTGGTAAATGGCATTGGTTGAGAACTTTTCAGAACCCCTTTATAGGGACTAAATCCTATATGTTAAATATTGTTTATTGTAACTGATATAACCAATTATCCCCCTTCCCCAACTTAATGGACTATTCCTATCAGCAGTGGAAGCAGCAGGAGCATAGACTTGTTTCCCCTCCTGCCCAGGGTGGATTAAATTTTAAACTTCTATGATTTCTCTTTTGGCAATTCAACTTTTACTTGCTTTGAGGAATTATTGATATTTTAAACACCTGTAATCTTGTCAATGGTAGCAGAACATTAAAGATGACTACTTACAAATATTCACCTACATTTGGTAAACAAAGAATATTTACGATGGAAATTGGAAGTTGAATTATGGTAAATGTTTACTGAAATGGACAATAAAAAAAGAAAAGGTATAGCACTGGCAATCTCCTTGGAAGGAAAAAGCATGAGAAATTGCCACAGCTATAGATAAATCTCTCCTAATGACTGATGATGGCGGTAAAAATGTTCTAACAGAATTGGATAAGTTATTTGAAAAGGAAAAGACATACTAATTGTATGAAGCTGATACAAAATTTGAAAATTTTAAAAAGACTGAGACAATATTGATGGTAGACTATATAGTAGTGGTTGAACAATTAAATAAGAAATGTACCAATTTAAAAATTGACACTGGTGCATTATTGGCCCTGAAATTGCTATACAATGCAAATCTCAGTGAACAACAAAAACAATTGGCTTTAACAGCATGCCCATAAATGAAGTATAAAACCATGAAAAATATTCTGACCAGGATATTTACTACTGCTAAAACAGAACTGCAGATAAAAAATGAAGTGGAGATAAAAGAAGAAGCAATGACAGCAGAAAATTATGGTAAAAGCAGGGTACCATTTAAAGGATTTATGTATAAAGGAGCAAGATACAAAGAACACAGTAGAAAGACCCCTGGAAAATGAATCTTGTATTTAATGAAGTATCCAGATGTAATGTCTGTGAATCAACATATCACCAGGAAAAGGACTGTCCACATACTAACAAAGATGGTAATATGACAGAAAATATCAGTAGAGAGAAGCATTCAGAAGAAACGGTTCATATGTCTTTGATGACAGAAGCTAAACTATTGGACAAAATATCAAATCAAGATGTTAACCAAACATCTTTGGTAATGGAAGCTCAGAATACAGCAATTGTACCAAAACAGTTTATAGTAGTGAATAGATGCATTCCATGCTTGATTCACTATCTTTTGAAGAATTAAAATCCTGCAAAAATGAAAAAAGTGGTGTTATATTTAAATTTGAAGATGGAAGGATAGTTGGCTCATATCAAACTGTTACTTTCCCAGCAAAAATTGGCAGTTGTTTATGTAATATAAAAACAGAAGTTGTAGAGTGTAAAATTCCACTGCTGTTAAGTACGGAATCTCTAGCAAAAGCAGGTTATTGACATTGGAAAAGATCACGTAATGATGTTTGGTCAGAAAGTAAACATTCAAACCAAATCAACAGGACACTATTATGTGAACATCATGAGAAATGATAAGGAAATTATACTGATGCTGAAAATATTTTTCTCATAGTTGATAGCAACAGGGAAAGAAGTGAAAAAACAAATACACTTTTAAAATTACATAAACAATTTTGTCATGCTTCACTTGTTAAATTTATTCAAAACAGCAGGCAAAGTCGATCAGGAAAATGAAGATCTTCTAAAGGACATTTATAAAAAAATGTGCTATTTGTCACACATATACATGTTCTAAAATGAAACCAATAGTTGGTTTTAATCCAATAAAGGATTTTAATCAAGTAATTGCTCTTGAACTTCATGAACTTGGTCCTGGCATCTGGTATTTACATATGACTGACTTGTTTAGTAGATTAAGTATAGCTGTTATCATCCGTAGTAAAAAAGCGGGTGTCATTGTAAATAAATTTATGCAGAATTGCTATTTATGGTACACTTGAAATTGGTCTTTTTCGAAATAATGGTCTTGAGTTCAACAAATCAAGAAATGGCTGAAAAGTTGAATCTATCACTCAAAACAACTTCAGTTTCTTCCCCATGGTCAAATGGTATTGGTGAGTGCCATAATGTGATCCTAACGAAATCATTGAGGTTAAAGAAGAAAATGTTATTTCATTGAGAACTGCTACAAGTTGGGCTGTGAATGCAAAAAACTGCTTGGTAAATGTATATGGATTTAGTCCATATCATATAGTTCATGGCAGGAGTCTAAACTTACCATCTAATATTTTCAACATACACTCCTGCTTGGAAATTAAAAAACTATTGGTAAAGTGATGAAAAAGGCATCTCCCAGGTTTACAAGGAACATAGTATATTTGGCAGCAGAATCATCAGAAAGAATTCAAAGAGCACTGAGAAAACAAATAAGTCTTTAAACAAGGGGAAGAGGTGTTCTTAAGAGGTGGTGTTGCAGATGTGTGATGTGTGATGGAGAGGAATAGAAGGTTTGAATTATCAGAAGGCTTAAAACTGTGTGTGTCCAATAATCTTCCATCCACAAAAATTAATACAAGACATAAAATAAGTATTCAAAAACATAACGTATTGTTTCAAAACGTAACAATTGAATTTATTTAGTATTTGATATACATGCATGTGAACTGAAAAGTTAGACAGAGTTGTGTCTCTTAGACTAGGTAATATTTTTACCTAAGCTCATAAAGTGAAAGTAATTATTAAACTGTATTTTAGAAGAATAAAGTTTCTTTAGCATGTTTAGAATTGTGTATAGTACAAGTTGGTAAAAGTTCAGAAGAGATTTCAGAGTTCGTACTTGTGTGAATGTTGGTAATGGTCTTTAACGTCTGACTGCATTAGTTAAGACAGGAGTTCTTGAAAATTACATCTTGGCAGCAAGGAATGAGATGCAAGGGAGAGAGAGAGTTTACACATGTTTTGTTTTTATAATTTTGTTGTACCACGTGACAGGCTCAGACTGAGTTGGCACCAAAATAGATCTGTCGCGTGGGGGTGATTTGATTGGTCGAAACTGACCAATCAGCAAACTAGATTGAAGGTGATTAACCAATGAATGCTTGTCATATATTCCATTACAGGGAATAGTTTATTTACCCACACAGGGGTGAGTGGCTGATGTGGAAGATTCCACAATGGTGAATGGAAAGGGTCAGGTTGGATTATAGGAAAAGACAATATAGTTGTGATAGTAAGAGGCACTTACGTTTGTGTGCATGAAAGTAGACCCTTGAGAGCTTTAGAATCAAAAGCTAGTCATAATAATAAAACAACCAATAATAATAATATTGAAAGTGATGACAGTGAAGATGAAGATGAAGGAAATACAGATGCTGCAGGAAATGGTACTAAGAAAAATGGCAAATTTTCTAGAGATGCATATCAAGACAGTGAAACAAAAGATGAAGATTCTGGGACTACTACCAACATAGAGAAGGATAGATCAGCCTCTGTTAGACAAGTGAACCCCAATGTTATTAAAGTTCAGAAAGATAAAATAATTCCATTTTGCATAAAATGATAAAGAATATGAAGCTATAATTCTTGGACAGGCTGGAAAAGCATCTACCAAGACAAAGAACTAGTACAATATTGAATATATAAAACCTAAAGACATAAAAAGAACAAGTATGTCTATTGATTCATCAACTGTGAAGAATCAAACAAATGGAAATACAAACAGAAGTTTTATACATGTCAACAATTCTTGATTTTTCAGAAGCAAAGAAAGGCAAACTGAGAAAATGGAAAGAACTGAAAGTTTATTTAGAACTAGAAGATGAAGGACAGAAATATGTCTTCTAGGTGGGTAAATACAGTGAAAAATGATGGTGACAAGATCTAGATTAGTAACAAATGGATTTGACAAAGCTTATCTCAGAGATATCCCAAAATTCACCAACAATCGATAAGTCATCTCTAAGAACAGTGTTATCAGTCATTGTTCAACACAATTGGTCTGTCAATACTAATGACATAAAGACTGCATTCTTGCAAAGTGAAGAAATTAAACAGATCTATATTGGACCCCCATCAGAGGCATGTACTAAAAAGATTTGGAAATTAAAGATATGTATGTATGGTTTAGCAGATGCATCACTGCAATGGTATCAAAAGGTAAAAACAACTAAGTTAAAACTCAAAGGGTAGATATCTAAGATTGATTCAGTAATATTTTACTGGTTTGATAATGTCCTGTAAGGAATATTTGCCATGAATGTTGATGAGATTTATAGACAGGAATTGATAGATTCCAAAAGGACATGGTATCTAAAATCCGAAGTATCTTTGAAGTTGGAAAATAAGCAACAAGTTCATTCAAATATATTGGGTTAAATCTGACTCAAGAGAGGTGTATCATGTTAACACAGAAGGATTATATTGATAACATAACAGAAGTAAAATTAGATAAAAAGGAGAACACAGCACACTTATCTGAGGATGAGAAGACTGTGCTAAGAGCTAAGCTTAATCAGCTCTTGTGGATTTCCAAACAATCACGCCTTGATATTGCATTTGATGTGACAGATCTGGCTGGTAAAATCAACACAAGTACAGTTGAAGATTGGAAAAGACTGAATAAGATTATCAAGAAAGTAAAATCTGACCATGTTTATTTGAAGTATCAAAATTTAGGCAAGATTCTAGAAACACATATTTTTGTAGATGCATCATTTGAAAATTTTAATAACAGTGGCAGCCAAGGAGGACATTTTATAATCACTAAAGGGAGATAATCAGAAGATGAATCCAATATTATGGCAATCCCACAAAATGAAGAGAGTAGTAAAAAGTACATTATCCAATGAGACACTAGCTCTATCGAAAGGGATTGACAATGCATTCAGTATCTCAATGCTCTTAGGTGAGTTGTTAAATAATAATCACCAAAAGATCATTCCTATCAAGTGTTTTACAGATAACAGTGATTTGGTCAAAGCAATCAAATCAACTAAACTTGTTACAGATCAGAGATTGAGAATAGAAATAGCAAGTATCAAGGAAATATTAAATAAGGGAGAAATCTGTTTAATAACATGTGTGAAGTCTAATGATCAAATTGCTGTCTAATTAAAAGAGGTGCCTCACCTCATTATATGATAGACTGTTTGAATAATGAGGAGATGACAGAATAATGTTTACTTTTAAATAAGAAAAGGAATTAGATTTTTAACTATTGTTTATTGTAACTGTTATAACCAGTTATCCTCCCTCCCCAACTTAATGGACTGCTCCTATCAACACTGGCAGCAGCAAGAGCATAAATTTGTGTCCCCCTCCTTCCCAGGGTGGATTAGGCCATTAGATAATATTTAAACTACAGTGATTTCTCTCTTGGCACTTTAACATTCACTTGCCTAGAGGAACTACTGACATTTTAAACCAGACCTGAACAGACATATTTTTATATATCGGTAGACAATATATATAAACTCCAATCCATGACGGTTCCGTATAGGAGGTTCTATGAAATATATATATATATATATATATATAAATATATTTATACTGTTTATCATAAACAGAGCATTTGCTAAAATACTTGTATCTATAAAATAACAAGTTTAAACATCTGATAAATAATCATTATGTGTATGAGATTCATGGAAAGTTGGAGTTTAGGGTAAATAATGCCAAAATATGACGGTTCTGTATAGGTAGACCTCAAAGAACGAAAATTTTCTATGAAAATTTCTCGGACATTCAGGCCGGTAAATGTTATTTTACTGTTTTTAAACAGGACGATTTAGAAAACAACGTTAAAATAAAAATATGTCTTTAATAAATAAATTTCGGACCTTGTCCATTTCACCATTTGTTTCAAACGCCAGAGCAGTTATGAATTCGAGAAAAGATTTTCGTGAGCCAGTGGCGGTAAAATTATTTTCCAGATAGGATAACTGTCAAAGAACAAAAAATGAAAAAACCAGGCCGGTAAATGTATTCATAAAAAATTTCACTTGTATCTATAAAATAACAACGTTAAAATAAAAAATAGATTTTGGACCTTGTCCATTTCTTAACAGATATATAATAATATTTCATGCAATAAAATGCTATAAGAAGTTTTGTCCGATAAATAATCATTACAAGGGTAAATAATTTTTGTAGACCTACCACAAGTTATTTTGGACGATTTAGAAAATAAAAATTTTTCACCACACCTTCAAATTCGAGAAAAAGATTTTCGTGAGCCATGGCAAATTATTTTCTAACTAATGAAAACCATGTATTCAAAAACACATGAAATGCACACACACACACACACACACACACACACACACACACACACACACACACACACACATGTACATGCACACATACACATGCCAACTAAGGCCTTGTCCATACACACAATAGAAGGGATTAACCAACAACTGCTGATAGATAGAAGATGGTAATAGATAAGTGAGGAAGATAGATAGGTAACAGACTGTAATAGATGAGTGAGGAAGATAGATAGATAGATAGATAGATAGATAGATAGATAGATAGATAGATAACAAACTGTAGTAGATGAGCAATGAAGATAGATAGATAGATAGATAGATAGATAGATAGATAGATAGATAGAAAATGGTAATAGATAAGTGAGGAAGATAGATAGATAACAGACTGTAATAGATGAGCAAGGAAGATAGATAGATAGATAGATAGATAGATAGATAGATAGATAGATAATAGATGTAATAGATAACAAGAGATAGATAATAGATGATAGAAGATAGATAGATAGATAGATAGATAGATAGAGAGATAAGAGGAAGATAGATAGATAGATAGATAACAAACTGTAATAGATGAGCAAGGAAGATAGATAGATAGATAGATAGATAGATAGATAGATAACAAACTGTAGTAGATGAGCAATGAAGATAGATAGATAGATAGATAGATAGATAGATAGATAGATAGATAGATAGATGAGCGAAGAAGATGGTAGATAGATAGATGAGGAAGATAGATAGATAGATAGATAGATAACAGACTGTAATAGATGAGCAAGGAAGATAGATAGATAGATAGATAGATAGATAACAAACTAGATAGCAATGAAGATGATAGATAGATAGAAGATAGATAGATAGATAGGAAACAGACTGTAATAGATGAAGATAGAGGATAACAGACTGATAGATAGGAAGATAGATACATAGATAGATAGATAGATAACAGACGGTATAATAGATAAGCGAGGAAGATGAGGAAGATAGATAGATAGATAACAAACTGTAATAGATAGATGAGAAGATAGATAGATAGATAAATAGACAGATGAAGATAGATAGATAGATAGATAGATAGATAGATAGAAAATGGTAATAGATAAGTGAGGAAGAAAGATAGATAACAGACTGTAATAGATGAGCAAGGAAGATAGATAGATAGATAGATAGATAGATAGATAGATAGATAGATAACAGACTATAATAGATGAGCGAGGAAGATAGATAGATAGATAGATAGATAGATAGATAGATAGATAGATAGATAATAGATAACAGACTGTAAGAGATGAGCGAGGAAGATAGATAGATAGATAGATAGATAGATGAGCAAGGAAGTAGATGATCCCAACACCATCATACTTTCTGTTTTACTTGTCAATTCCACTAGTACTTAAGATTATTTTCATAAACATCTAATTTTCTTGGCCTAACTCACTTCCTAAAATCAAAATTCAACTGCTTGGAAAGTTGGTCACATCACATTGAAATAATGCTTCTCCTACAATCACTGAAGTTAAGCAACACCAAACTGGGTCAATACCCAGATGAATGACTGCTTGTTAATATCAGCTGCAGCAGGTGGTGTAATGTATAATAGCTCAGAATTGTTAATCAGAGAGCTAAGTTCTGATGGCAGTTGTGTTTGTTATATTTACTTACACACAAGAACCCTTGGGAAATGTATGAATCCACCAGTTCTCCCTGTAGCTATAGGTTAATTAGAAAAACTTTTATCACTAAACCATTCTTATCACAAAAAAAATATTCTTACAATCTAAAAATATTTTCTGGCTTTAAATAACCTGCAAAGAGTGAAAATTTCAAATCAATCAATCAACCTGAAAGTTGGTCAGGCTGGTAAGTTTTCAACACCCCAGATATGTTGTGTTTGTATATTGCACATAGAAGTGGGTGTTGAAATTTTCTTAGTCTCACTCACTTCTTAAACCCAGAATTCTGCTGCTTGAAAAAGCTGAGAACTTTTCATCACCAACCTTATAGTTTGTGTTTGACTTGTATATTGCATAAGTCATTCTAAGTATTACTTAATGTAATGATTTGATATAGAAGTGGGTGTTGAAATATTCTTGGTTTGACTCACTTTTAAAACCAGAATTCAGCTGTTTGATAATTGGGACACTCTGAGAACTTTGTGTTTCACTTGTAAATTGCACCAGTGCTTAAGATTATTTTTATAAACATCTAATCCAAAAATTATATCATTTACCATTTTTCACAAGAGAATATATTCCATTTCTGAAGCTATGAATCACTTCAATGTCCATTGTTTAGTGGTCATAAAGCGTGAATATTTTTTATGTCAAATGTCACGAGTGGCAACACATGAAGATTTTCCCATCTGAAATATTTTTCAATATTCAATTTATTTACCTCAACAATAAATATACAAAGTGCCTTCCATGGCTTCTTGAAACAATGTTAACTTTTTAAATAAATAAAACACTTTTTTTGTTATTTTTTAAAATATAATTTCATAATCACAAATCCCATAACCTAAGGGATTCTAAAGGGTGCCACATCCACTGCATCCATAGCAACAGTGGTGTTTCTTGGGCAAGATATCATACCAGAGCCAAACCCTCTACATTCAGAGTTTTCCTTTTCCTAGACTGGTGGACAACCAAGGCTATAGAGCCCACTCTGTCCTTTTATTTGCTCATAGCTCAAGGGAAGAGATGGATTCATAACTTTCCCAAGGTTATTAGTACATAAGGGAATGTAAATGAACTTAACTGGAATTTGAACTCCTCTCTCTGATTCCTCATTTCAAGCAACCATCCATTATTTCATTTGCATCCAATTCTCATAAAAGTGAATCCAGCAGAACAATACAATATCAGGTTCATACTTTTCAGTATATAAGGTAACATGTTGAATCAATAATTGCTATTATGAGGCAGTACATGATTTATATGTATTTATTGTTAAAAAGTGCTGTAATAAAAGAAAAAGCTGATATGTTCTACATTGAAATAGTTGAAAAGAAATTGCCTTTATTTGATTAACCTACAAAATGGCTACAAAGAAAATGGTGTTTTTTTATGCAACCAGTGAATATCAACCTTAATGTTAATGATCTGAAGAGAAAGTTTCTTTGAAAATCACTTAAGACAGCAACCCAAACACTTTCTGTCTCTTGGATTTTTCAATCAAATATGTTTTCATGAATAGATTTAAATATTTTGTTGAATATCATAAAAGCTATTATTCATATATCAAAATGGTTGGTCTTTTCATATTTGAAATTGTTTCATTCTAAGATAACATTTCCTTTTCACACATGCTCATTGGAGATGAATTGAAGCTCTCCAATGAAAAAGTTAAAAAAGTAATTCCGTTTTTATTTTACATTCATGTAAAGGTGATATTAGATTAATATGCAGTGAACTTAAAAAGCAAATGTTATTCTTCTTACTAACAAAAGCATTGGCAAGTTGATTTTAGATTTTGGATGGTAACTCCATTTCAATAAATAAGTCCTCCTCGTGAGGAGATGGAATGGAACTCTCTAAACATAAAAGTTACAAAAGTATTACAGTCAAGATTGTTTGCTTGTTTCATTATGTTAGACAAATTTTCACATTGAGCCATAATCAGAATGAATCTTTTGACACGTTAGGTATCAAGTTCTGACCTTTTCTTCTTTACAACTTGAATCCAAAAACACTTTTGTCATGATTCATCTGAAAAGACGAAATGAAGTAAATAAATAAAAAATAAAAGAGATAAATAAAAAAATAAAATGTACGGTAAGCTGAAAGAACAAATGTAGTCCTGACTTTTTGGAAAATCATGTTATAATTCAAGTCATGTTGTTGAAAGATCCCTAGTAAAAAAAGAAAACACACAAAAAATAGAAAAGACTTTTTACAAAACAAAACCTGAGGACCATTATTAAATGCACAGCATAAGTGAATTCACAAATCTGATATTTGTATAAGTGAACTATTTTCAAGTTAATTAAATTCTATTTTATGTTGGTATCTACTCAATAGGAATATCATATTTTATTAATAATTTTCACTAAAAAACGGGTTTTATTTTGTTTAAAAATGTGTGTACTATAATTTGAATGTATAAATGTTTACCAAATCTGGATTTATATAGCTTTTTAAAGTTTTTCTTCGCAAACACTACAAGATATACTTCAGGTGAGAAATACATTTTAAGCATGTTCAAGGAAGGATAAAAAAACAAACATCCGAAATATAAAGGAAGGAATTAAAAAAAACAAAGACTTTGTTTTAGTACCACTAACATCAATTAAAAAAAATATGTTATAAGTATGTTCAAGAAAGTAAAAAAAAAATATGAAATATGAAGACAAGATAAAAAAACCAAAGCCTAACTATATGGAACATATTTTAGTACCATTGATACCAAATATTTCACACATAAGAGCAGTTTATGTGTGTAATTGCACATGCATGTGTGTGTGTGTGCACATGTCTAAAACAAATTTAATCTTGTCATGTTTGTTATATGAAATATAACTTAATTAGTTTTCATTTTAATTTGGTAATCAATCAGTACGGATATTGTATTTTATTAATAACTTTCAATAAAAAGTGTTTTTATGTCCACTATAATTTGAATCAGTATAATTTATGCATTTTACTAAATCTTAATTTCTATAGATTTTTAAAGTTTTTATTCCAGATGTATTTCAATTGCAAAGTATTTTGTATGTATGTCCAAGTAAGTCACAACAAAAATCATAATATAAAGGAAGGAAAACAAAATCAAAGTATAATAAAACAGATATTGTTTTAGTAAAACTTGAAATCAATAAAAAAATACATAAAAGACATGTTCAAGGAAGGATAAAAATGAAATCTAAAATACCAAGACAAGACAATGGAAACAAAGCATAACTAAATAAGACCATGTTTTAGTACCCCTGATATCAGTTGAGAAATATGTCACAATCATGTTCAAGGAAGGATAAAAAAGAAATCTAAAATACCAAGACAAGACAATGGAAACAAAGCATAACTAAATAAGACCATGTTTTAGTACCCTGATATCAGTTAAGAAATATGTCACAATCATGTTCAAGGAAGGATAAAAATGAAATCTAAAATACCAAGACAAGACAATGGAAACAAAGCATAACTAAATAAGACCATGTTTTAGTACCACTGATATCAGTTAAGAAATATGTCACAATCATGTTCATGGAAGGAGAAAAAAGAAATCTAAAATACTGAGGCAAGACAATGGAAACAAAGCATAACTAAATAAGACCATGTTTTAGTACCCCTGATATCAGTTAAGAAATATGTCAAATGTTCATGGAAGGGAAAAAAGAAATCTAAAATACTGAGGCAAGACAATGGAAACAAAGCATAACTAAATAAGACCATGTTTTAGTACCCCTGATATCAGTTAAGAAATATGTCAAATGTGTGTTCAAGGAAGGATAAAAATGAAATCTAAAATACCAAGACAAGACAATGGAAACAAAGCATAACTAAATAAGACCATGTTTTAGTACCCCTAATATCAGTTGAGAAATATGTCAAATGTGTGTTCAAGGAAGGACAAAAAAGAAATCTAAAATACTGAAGCAAGACAATGGAAACAAAGTGTAAATTAATAGACCATGTTTTAGTACCCCTGATATCAGTTGAGAAATATGTCAAAAGCATGTTCATGGAAGGAGAAAAAAGAAAGACAATGGAAACAAAGCATAACTAAATAGACATTGTTTCAAAGGGTGATTGTATATGTGTGTATGTCTGACAAAAATAGGAAGAAAGCAAGTTACCAAATTTAGTTCCTACCTTAAATCTGATCATGTCATGTTTGTCCAAGAGGAATAGATTTTTTTTATTTTAATTTTGGTTGCTGCTTTTATACTAACATATCACATGACTACACTAGTGTCCCATGATAACTTAACTAAGGGAAAATAACCATCCTATTTTGCCATGCTTGTTTTATTTATCTATCTCCATTGGTATGTTAATGTATATATTTATATATTTATTCATTTATCGACATGTGTTTGTGAATATTCCACTGTTAAAAGGTAAGTCAGTATTTAAAATGGAAATAATTTCTTTTTTTGGCAGGAAAAAATTATATTTGGATTTCTTAATATTTGTCACATAAATTGAAAACAGAGTGAATACTACTTCTCTGAGTTGATGAAATATTTTTTCAAATCCATGTCCCTTGAGGGAATAGGTGTTTATGACCCTTCACAGCTTCCATTTCTTTAATATCTTCAAAATGCCATTACTCTTCTTGGGAAAGGTATTGTGTTATTTAGATTTGTCCTTCCACTAGATTACACTCTTAAAACATTATGACCTCAAATGACCTACTACATGGAGGACAGAAGAGATACATGGCTTTCTGAAATATATTAAATGAATACAACAACCTCATCCATAATTTGAACTCAAACTGCCAATTCCATTTTCTATGTCAATTACTCTGCCACCGACATATCCAATAAGAATATATAAAATAGAACAAACACTCATAACTTTTGAGTTTTGGCATAAAACACAAAACAATAAATCTTTACAGATCAACATTTTGTCCAGTTCTGATTTGGCTTCTAACCAGGAACTTAAAGCAGTTGAAATTAAATCGAATTCTTTTATCCTTGCTGAATAATTCTTGCATTTTATTTTTAATTCATTTTTAAACAGAAAAGTCATTAGTGAAAACTATTAATTATGTTTCTTTTTCTTTGCATAATAAACATACATTCATCACTTTGTGTACATTTTCTAAATTGCAGAATTACATGGCAGAATTTATAAATGACTTGCTGCTTATTATAAATTTATAAATGGAGAAAATGGTATTTAAAATTATTAATAATATGATTTCTTTTGTTCTGGGTTATTAAAGTATAGGAATTACTTTTTCTTTTCTTCTGTAATTGCAAAGATGCTCCAAGCAAGTTCTATACAGCCTTTTACTTATTACTAATATTAAATGTGTAAGTCATTATTTAAAACAATATGATTTTTTATTTTTATTTTTAGCTTCAGGTTTTTTTAAAATATAGGAATTATTTTGTGTTCTCTTCCTGAATTGCAAGGATGCGCCAAGAGAAGTTCTATACAGCCTTTTATTTATTACTAATATTAAATGGGTAAGTCATTATTTAAAACAATATGATTTTTTATTTTTATTTTTAGCTTCAGGTTTTTTTAAAATATAGGAATTATTTTGTGTTCTCTTCCTGAATTGCAAGGATGCATCAATGAAGTTCTATAAATCCTTTTACTTATTACTAATATTAATTGTGTAAGTCATTATTTAAAAGTGTCAATAATATGATTTCTTTTGTTCAGGGTTATTAAAATATAGGAATTATTTTGTGTTCTTTTTCTAAATTGCAAAGATGTTCCAAGCAAGTGCCATACCATCTTTTATTTATTATTAATATTAAATCTATTAGTCATAATTTCAAACTGTTAATAATTTGATTTCTTTTATTCAGGGTTATTAAAATATCAGAATTACATTGTTTACTCTTCCTAAATTCCAAAGATACCCCAAGAAAGTTCTATACAGCCTTTTACTTATTACTAATATTAAATGTTTAAGTCATTATGTAAAATAATATGATTTCTTTTAGTCAGTATTATTAAAATATTGGAATTTCATTGTGTTCATTTCTTAAATGGCAAAGATATTCCAAACAAGGTCCTTTTACTTAGTATTAATATTTAATGTATAAGTCACTATTTAACTGCCTTAACTCTTTAGGGATCTGACTAATCAGTGGCTGAAACATTTCATTGGGTCGAATTTCATGAGGGTACCAGGTTGGCAGTTTTCTGGTTGCTGTGTCTGACAGGTAGTAAGGAGCCCAAACTATTTTGTATCACTTAGAGTTGCTGCTCTTATCAACAGTTGTATAATATCAGGGTATTTGTAGTGCCATGCTGCACATGGTTAGGTGTCTTTGCATGTATTTCCAGTAGGTAACACTGAGACCTCATTATACTTTAGTCTTAGTCACCATCTGGAATTATTTGGCATTATGTTCCTAAATCCTAAAGATACTCCTTGGAAGATCTATTCAGACTCTTACAACTCATAGATTCATGATGACAGCTTCTTACTTAGCATACTGAACTTTGGCTACATTTGCCAAATTCCACTTTGCGGATCGGGAACACTAGAATCAAGCAAGTTTAAATATGTTGGAAGCGTTTTGACAGAGGACAATAAGTGTGACACTGAGATCCGAAGATGTATTGGAATGGCCAAGGAGGCATTCCAAAAGCTGGGCAGAGTATTGCAAGACAGGAGGATTTCTTTGGTAACAAAGAAAGGAATACTGAGCTGTTATGTAACATCTGTTCTTTATGGCAGCGAATGTTGGACGATTTCCTGAAAGATGAAGAAGTGACTTGAGACGATGGAGAAGTGGTTCTATAGAAGGATGCTAGGGATATCATGAACCGAGCATGTAAGAAATAATGAAGTCTTAGAGAAAATGCAAACAGGAAGGAGGCTTATACTTAACATCAGGAAGAGGCAGCTGAAGTTTCTGGGACACATAATGAGGAAGGAGGGCTTGGAGAATCTGATACTCATGAGTCGAAAAGAGGGAAAGAGAGACAAGGGAAAACATCATGTGACATTACTAGTGGCCTTAAGCAAGAGGGTTACAGAACATGATCTGGGGGAGGAAGCAGAGGGAAGGAACTTGTTGAGAGCTGCAAGGGATAGAGGGAGGTGGAGAGCCATGATCGCTTACATCCTGAAAGGGCACAGCACATAGAAAGAAAAAAAAGAGTTACAGAAGTAGATTGTGGTGCATTGTGTACCATTTTAATTTATTTATTTTTAAAATTTACAAATACTCTTAACATGTGGAATTCTGAAAAGCCTGTATCTCCATATTAAAATTCTTGCAAGAAATACATTTTTTTTCACTAAAATATATAAAAATAAAAGAATAATGAAAAAGCTTTTTTTGGCTTTTTTTAAAAAATTTTTAAGAGCTTAACAGCTTCTGCTAAATTTCTGTACCTAAGTAAGCCATAGGTCATTGACTGACGGCAGATAGGTTGGTTGGTTATTTTTGTTTAGTGGCATATCAACATATCTATGGGTTATTTAATGCCAAAATCTAAATATTTTGTACCAAATTGTTTTTTCTTACTAATTAATCCATAGATGATGTGACCCTTTCCCAATGGTATTTGTACATATGTGAATATAACAAAACTGGAACTCAACTTGACCAATTAACAATTCCAAGCCATTATTTGTTACATCACCTAAACATCCAAGTATACATCATTTGGTATTCTCAAGTAGTCACCCATCTAGGTACTGACCAGGCTCAATTTTGCTTAACTTCAGTGATCATACAGGAATCAGTGTTTCAATGTGAAATACAGAAATAGATAGTCTTTCAAATTCTTTGTACCTTAATATGTAGAAAATTTAATTGGATACCAGTTTATTACTTAAAAACAATTCGGAATCGATCCCCTATTTTATGTCCAATAGAATCTTATTTTACTCTTAGTAAAAATGCCAGCTTATTTTGTTAAGTCCTTGTTAAGTCATGAGAAATTATTTACATACGTGTCTGTCAATATATTTTTAGTATTATTATATACTAGCTTAAAAACTTCAGTCTGTTCTTCAAATTACAAACTCTGCGGAACTTCAAAACCTCACGTCATGAAACCTCTCATTTTAACTCAGATTCATTGGCATTTTGAAGAAATAAAATTGATTTCCTCAATTCACAAAGTTTTAGAGACATTCTAAAATGAATTTAAAATGAAAATCTTTAAATTCACAAATATTTTTTATATAAAAAATCAAGACATATCCACAAGTCTATTTTTAATTCTAACCTCACTTTAACTTTTGTAAAAATGGTAACATTTTGTTTTTAAGTTTCCTTAAAAATCATTTATTCACCAGTTACTTACCATTGCCTGAAGAAATACAATCATAATATTGAAACATGAAAGATTTTGTGTATTGATTTCAAAATGTTTTTATTATAATCTCTTATAAACAATAAACAAAAACTAAAAATCTTTGAAGGTATATACATAAAACAGTTGAAACCTAACCTAAACAAAATAAACTATGAAGTCTCCACAAATATCCTTAAATGTCTATAATTGGTAACAGAAACCATTGGTTTATACCAACGGCTTCCCATACTTAATACTTCTCAAATTCACTCTCACGTGGTCATGTGTGACGTCATGAGCTGCGGTGCAATTTTCGCTTCCAGCGTCTTATATGCACATGTTTATCGTTGCTTGGAAATCATCCATGTAAACAATAACAGACTATCATCACCGTCTTGTCCATATATTGCTTAATATGTTGTGCAGTAATTGACATCTTTGATAATGGCTTATGTAAGCCAAAAGCTTAGATTGGATTAAAAAATATGGATCAATATTGTGATTTTCTTTCTTCGTTTAATGATAAATGATAATGTTATTAAGCTTATCAGATGTTATGAAAAGAATTTACATAAAATAAATAGACAACACTTGTCTATATTATTTAATGAAACATGTATATATATATATATATATATATATATATATATATATATATATATATATATATATATATATATATATATATATATATATATAATTTGAGCAAGAGATTTTCTTTAATTTACACATTATTTTCATCTTAGTTGTTACAGACAGGACTGGTGCATACTACTTCAGAAATCCCTAACCATCAAAGCCTGTCTGTGGGCCTGGACAGTACTTTGTGAAAAAGAAAACATTATTAAGGAGTGAAAAGAATAGAAATTAAGAAGACAGAAAATAACGATTGATATTGTAATTTACATTATTTACATGATTCAGACTGTTATGCTCATCTTCATTGCCATATTCCCAACATTTTGGCCATTGTACACTCCAGCCTTCTTCTTTGTCATTGCTCACATGTTCGGACAATGACATTCTCAGAATCCTTCTATAGAACCACATTTCTGTTGCTTCAAATCTCTTCTTCATCTGTGAGGACCTTGTCCAACATAAGCAAAATTAGCCTATTTTTAATATTATTAAACTTGTTGGTTGTGTACTGGTTTTCAGTGTGATTAATGGTGGGAACGTATCTTTCCTGGCTGTCAAGGTATTGCGGATCAATCAGAAACACCATCAACAACAGTTTTCTGTTCTACCATCAATGATGCTACCATTGTCAAAGACACGGGTTTGCCATATATTTTATTAGACACAAATGTTGGTTCAGATGCAAATGCATATCAAGATCCAGCCGAGCAGAACTGATTAAATGTTTTTATCACAGTTCAAGCAAGAGAGATTTTTAAATGTATTTCTCTCTCTGGTTGGGTTGAGATCAGCATCCTTTCATGACAGCATGGATATGCTATGCATTTTGGGGTTGGTCAGGAGATAGAAAAATATGAGGTGAAGGTAAAAGAAAATTATGGATGTTTTTAGGGTGGGGAGGACGTATAGAAAGACAACATGGCAGTAGATAGAAAATAGAGATAATGTAAAATGGGGTAAAGGGAAAAAAATGATTTTTTATTTAGTTGTTTTTCTTTCTTTTTAAAGTTTGCTTTTTTTTTCCCCCTCACTATCTATTTCTTTCTGTCTTCTTTGTCTCTCTCTCTCTCTCTCTCTCTATCTATCTTTCTCTCACTTTACACCTTTTTTTCTCAATGTATTTTCTTTTTATCTCTCTCTGTCTTGTTTAATTTTTTCGCATCTGAGTCCTTTTTTTCTTTTCCTTTTGGTTTTTCTTCCCTTTTGTCTTCATACTTTTTAACTTGTTCATATCTATCTATCTATCTAGCTAGCTATCTCTGTCTATATCTATACCATCTATCTCATTCTATTCTTCTGTCTCATATATATCTATCTATCTATAGATATATATCTTTTTCATAGTTCATACCTATCTATCTATCTATCTATCTATCTATCTATCTATCTATCTATCTATCTATCTATCTGTTTATATCCATACCATATATCTCATTCTATTCATATCTATCTATCTAGATCAGTTCATATCTATCTATTTCAGTTTGTTCATTCACACACACACACACACACACATATATATATATATATATATATATATATATATATAGATAGATAGATAGATAGATATAGATATATACATATATACATATATATAATATATTTCTGCTTCTTCATATCTATCTATCTATATATATATATATATATATATATATATATATATGTATATATCTGTCTATAGATATATATATCTTTTTTCATAGTTCATATCTATCTATCTATTTCAGTCTGTTAATTCTTATCTATCTACCTATATACATATATATATCTGTATATATATATATATATATATATATATATATATATATATATATATATATATATATATCTTTTCATAGTTTATATCTATCTATCTATTTCAGTCTCTTAATTCTTATCTGTCTATCTATCTATATACATATATATATATATATATATATATATATATACACATATGTATATCTGTGTATAGATATATATATCTTTTCATAGTTCATATCTATCTATGTATTTCAATCTGTTAATTCTTATCTATCTATCTATCTATCTATCTATCTATCTATCTATCTATCTATCTATATATATATATATACATATGTATATCTGTCTATAGATATATATATATCTTTTTCATAGTTCATATCTATCTATTTCAGTCTGTTAATTCTTATCTATCTATCTCAGTTTGTTCATACCTATTTATCTATCTTACTGTATTTAAAAACAGTCTTCTTAAGACTGAAGTACAGTGTGTCATGCACTATCTTTTAGATTTTTGATAATTAAATCAGTGAGTAAGTTGAAGATAGAAAAGTTAAGCATTTAAAGAGAGCAAATCGGAAATATAAATAGATAGATATGAATGGAATGATATAGATAGACAGAGCAGTATCTAGCCACATTAGAAGAGTCTTCCTTTTCCCACTCATGAGAAACTGTCTTCTAAACTCTGACTTCCCTGAATGCCTAAGAACTATATTGGTCCGCAAAGTCATATATGTTTAGTGAAGACCCAAATAGGTGTTAGCAATATTCTATGCATGGATGAATGATGGACTTATAAATGTGTAAGACAGATTCTGGCGAGAAAAATTGCTTTGCACGACTCAGTGAATCAACGTTCCTAGCAGCAGACATCACAATTGATATACAGAGTGTTTCAAAGAAATGTATACACCCCAGCCCTGACTCTGCAACCGTCTATCATGCCAAGAATTAAAGAAATTTTGTGAGATGAGGAATTTTATCTTCCGCAAGATGGAGCACCACCATACTACCGTCGTGATGTACAGTCATACCTGCATGAGATCTTGCGAAGCAGATGGATTGGGAGACAAGGTTCTGTAGAATATTCACCTCATTCACCAAACCTCATTCTTGTAGATTTTTTCTTGTGGGGATACTAAAAAGACCAAGTCTATATGATAAAGCCTGCAAAATTTGCTGAAATAGAAGATTCCATAGAGCAGTTTGGGTGACAAATTAATTTCCACCCTCCAACCTCTATCTCTCACAGTCATGATGTGGCAAGCCTCTCACTGCTCTATCATTACTATCATGGAAAGTGCTCAGATGAACTACATTCCTTGGTTCTGCCAGGTCTAACTTCATGGTTAGAACCTGCCATGCTATGTATATTGTAGCAAACCACTTACATTTCCTCCATTTTCCATTGATGAGAAGTGTTTCACTCAAAATACTTCTTATTGCAGACCACTGCTCTATGGAACCAACTCCCAAGAGGATGGTTCTCTGATCATTACAATCTTGGCCTGTTCAAGTCTCCAATTTTTTATCCATATAAAGTGCCTCTTAATGTAACCCTCTACCTCAAGTGACCCCAAGGGCCTTGTACAGGGTATAGCTTTAAAAAAATAAAGCAAGAATGCAACCAAAAAACTATCAAAATTGCTTCTTCTGATTTCGCTGAATCACATTGTTAGCAGTGTCTGGATTATAATGGACATCAATTTGAAAACCTGTAGTGAGAAAATATTAAGAGCATGCATTTAGAATAAGCATGGTAGTGTAATGGATAGCAGCTCGGATTGAAGCATCAGAGAGCCAAGTTCAAATTCCAGTTGAAACCATTACATTCACTTACATGCTAATACCTTTGGGAAAAGTATGAATCCTCTTTTTCTCCCCTCAGCTATGGGTAAATAAAAGGGCAGACAAGGTTCCATAGCTTGGATGCAACTGGTCTACTGCAGAAAGAAATGGCAACCTACTGTGTGAAAAAATCTGCCTTGTCAGTCATCTATTGAAAGATACATGATCGCCTAAGTGTGTTTTACGCATGGCACTTAACTGACTGTCTTCATATGCATTATT